TGGACATTTGTGCATAAAGCGAAATGCATTGTAACTCTACCCTTTGTACAGACACTTTAGCTACGTTGTTATTCTTGGTTTTTAATTCGGTATGGGCATGTGGATTTCAATTTGTTTTGTTCAAACATAAATTGTAAGACTTTTAATTGCAAAAATAATAAAGAATCTATTTATCAATAATAAATAAAGTGTATTCTTTACCACTTTCTTTATTTGACATACACACGACTTTTGCAAGTTGGCAGCTGATTAAACTAATTCACCTTACCACTTTTCTCACGGTTATCTTGAGGATCTCTCTAAGTATGTAGATTAAAATCTTTTGGATAGTTTGTTTATTCACAAAATTTGATAACACCACGGTATCAAATATGATCAATATGGGGAGTGGCTAAACCAACAAATGCAACAGATGACGTCACAACAAATACATGTGTTTTAAAGGTCCTATTTTGAGCTGTAAATAATTAAAGTTCATTCAAAATGAAAAAAGATTATATCTCTAAAATATATTATTTCAATATCATGAGATTAAACAAAGATATTTTTTGTTCTTTGATAAATTTACTCACAGCAGTGATGAAATCTGTGGTGGTCACAGATTTCGGTAGCCTAGTATGTTATTCATCGTCCACGCTTATAGATCTTGCAATAAGACAAAAAATTATTACCCTAAACTTAATTGAAAGGTTGTAGCATTTTAAAAAAATTATACAAAAATAGTTTATAACAAATTTTGAGTACTTATTTAATGCTTAATAGCATAAATACCTATAAGCTCGTTTTCATAGTTCATAAATGAAACATAAATGAAACACCTATTTTGAAAAATTCCCGTTAACTTTCGAAATATAAAAGCTCTAAACGCATTTGAATGCAGACAAGCTTATTTGATATAATAAGCAGTCTATTCAAATCTATCGATTCTCATATTATTGAAAAATTAATATTCAAATAAATATCTCTAACAGTATCTCTCCTGAATATATTCTTAAGTATTATTAAATTAAAGGTTTTTCAGCAAGTACTAGTCATTGATTGGCAAAAATTTTAAACTTTTATTAAAGAAGTTTACCCGAATTTTCTATCCCATCAGTGTTTATATTATAAGCACGCTTTACAGTAGCATGTACTTTCAAGAGTACTTAATAACCTTTATAGATGTCTGAATTACTGTTTCGTAAACTTTTCTAATATGCGAGTGTGTTTAGTAAAATTTACTTAAATAAATTCTTAAATTAAATATTATTTTATTATATAAGCAAAACACTGTGCCTGCTTAATATACAGTTTCGAAGACACGTAGTTATTGGATTAGCAATCCTTTGGTCCTTTGGTTCGGAATTCGTCACTGTTATTAATTTTCTTGTTGCAATTCATAAAAAAATGAACTTCAGTATAAACAAAATATAATTAAACAAAAATAAAACATGTATATATATTTTCTCATTGCTATAAGCAAAAATTCAAAAGTAATACTAACTGAAAAAGGTTATTAATTAACCGATTCATACTATATATGTGACAAATAAGGTACCATCTATAGTGCAATCTTTGTTCAGCATGCATGCTTAGAAAGTTTCATTTTTATTTTTTGGATTATTTTATAATTTTATTTTTAAAATTTTTATTGCTGGGTTTTGCAAATTTTTGCCAAAGCAAAATCTTTTATTCAGTAAAACCTCAACCTCGAAAAAAAATTTCGTTATGTGAAAAAAAGTATTTAGTTTGGTAAACATTCGCTATTTGCAATTTTCAGAATTGCTCGAATATCTGCACTAACAAGCAAAAATAAATTGAAAATGCTTAAAAAAATAAATAAACTTTTCACTACAAATAAAAACTTTTGCCATTCGCTTTTTGGTATGTTAATTGGTCAAAAGCTGTGGGCCATAAACCACTTTTCCTATGATCTGCGTACGATAATAAACAAGTGAGCAAAAAGTGCAGTTTGGCAATACGCAAAAACCGACTAACTTTCAATTTAAATTATATTTTAAAATTTGTTTTTTTTTTAAATTTGTTTTTATTTTACGAGTGAGTTCAAAAAAGAAAAATTACACAATTATGAATGAGAGTAGTTTCAGAGAATAGTTTTTAATCACATTTTAGTCAGCATTAAAGTGTATTAACAAAACAGAAGCAATAATAAAAAATCACTCATACGCAACGGTGTGCAGCAAATCGAATAATTACTGATTAAAATGTGGGCACGGGTTTTATATTATTTCCAACACTCCATTTTTTTTTTGATTAATAACAGGAATTTCATTCTTCATAAATTGTATGACGAATAGCATTAAAGTGAAATTTTCATCTGAACGTTTAATTGCTATAGAATTTTCTAAATGTTTAAAAATTTTAAAGAATATTTTTAATATATATGAAGCATATGTAACCTTTAACGATTCATTCTTCAATTTATCCATATATCACCGATACATTCTTCAATTCATCGACATATTATCGATACATTATAGAATTTATCTATAAATTATCGATACATTCTCTAATTTATCGATGCTGATTTTTTTTCGTATTTGATGTACATTTCTGATATTTGCCCTAACAAGTGTTATAATTAGATTTCATATCCCTTAGGTCTATTACTTAATTCTATTTGTGAAAATTTATTCCGTCTTATATCCAATTCCATTGCAAATATATTAACTCAATTAAAAATCATGATAAGATGGTCCCATGTTATATACACACTACAAATTGACTTTAAGA